TTACAAGTTAATTAACTATATATACACATTTTTTACCTTTCATAATTATGTTGATTTCAACCAAGAAATTTATTGAACATATTTAATTTTTAATTGTATTTATAATTAAAGTATTATCAGTTTAAACAATAAAAAACAATAAATGTGTAATATTTAACTTATATTGATAGTTGAATTTATTTTTAAAAAATTTAACACAAACTTGTTTTACTTTTAAAAGTTACTAAATTCTTGAATGTAGTAAAATTTAGTATAAAATGGTCAAGGTCTCTTTAAGGATCAATTTAAAAAATAAATTTTATTTAATAATTCATTTATTCTAGGCTATACAAATTATTCTAAAATATTAATTTATTTTAACCATATTCTAACATAATTTTGGCTAACATGATAAGCTACAATAAATTGTATTAATTATAACTTAGAACAGGTATTATTTATTAAGTAGATAACATTATCATGCAATACTTTGTATAATTAAATATTTTGCATATTCTGAATGTTCTGGTCGTGTCGTAAGGGGACAGTTGTATAGTACTGATAACCATACAGGGGGTGACCATAAGGAGTGGTGTAGATGTGGTGATTGGCAGCGGACAGGTATTTGGCGTTAAGCCTCGACTGTTGTAATTGACGCCAATCTCTAATCATAATCGCGAAACACAACGACTCGATCGACAGCAACAACAGGACGAGTGTCCGGAAGACTATGAGACCGGGACTCGTGAGCACTCGTGAGTACATAAACAGCAGTAAATAGAATATAATGATCACCGCAAAGATCATCACCGACGGGATGTGCTCTTTGATTATGGCTAACAATCCGATTACGAACACAATTACGCCGACCTTTGCGTACAAAACATATGCAAAAAATGATTATTAATTACTAATTAATAATTAGATAGGAATACAGGAAATGGTTGCGTGGGTTAGGGGTCAGTCATACCAGGGATATGATGCCTAAACTGAGAAACATTTTCTCGTTAGACTTGGCCTCAGCCACGATCAGCACAATCAGCGCCATTGAGATGAGCAAAACCAGCGCCGATATCAACGAGTATTTTACAAATTTAAAGCATTTGGTTCGGGGTATCACTTCGGGGCTTAAATCGTACTGAAGTACTGTTGACTGCATTTTATCACTTTTACTTTGTTTTATTAATTAGTACTATTTTGATACTACTGTATATTTATCACAACAAACTTTATTACTAAACTATAAATTCTTGAATCAAATATGAATATTATGTTAAATTTGTGAATTCTTGTACTGAAAAAGACTTTTCAATGCATTATTGAAACATAACTAACAAACTAAGAGAACTTCTCATATAAAAGTGCATTAAAAATATAAGACATTTGGGTCTCAGAGACAAAAACTATTTATAAATCATCAAGAATTGAATGCAAACTAAATATAACTGGCGCTGGAAGTGCTCATCAGATATATCATAGATATACCACTGTATGCGCTGAACAGTGCTGTATGTACTGCCAATTTGGCACTAAATCCAAATGGTTATCCGTTTATACGGTATGTATGGATATATGAAAAAATGTGGTATGTTCAATATTTTTCCCATTCATAAATCAAACAATTTAATGATAAACAGAATTTGCATATAATTTAAATGTATATGTGATAAGAGTGCAATGAACTTTGTCACTTATATTTCTTTACCTAAAACATAAAATTATAAATTCAATGATTTGATATTAAACATTGATAAATATCAATTATACCACGGTCCTATTTGTACATGTAGTAAATTCATGCAAATAATTTATTCAAAAATAGCGGCTAATTAAATTGTATCCATTAATAAAGTATAACAATTTCACCATGGAAAAGTATTAATAAAATATTTAATATTCATTAGATATCACATTGAATGCATTGTATTATGTGGTTTGGGGGTTAATATAATGTCTACACGTTATTAATGAGTGATTCACAAACATCAACTTAAATGCCAAAAATGTTTAAATGTAGTGAACGTTATACAGAGTCATAGGCCGCACACAAACACTACACACTGACAATGATAGCCCTGACCCATGTATAGCGTGTGAAACATTTAATGTGAATGCAATAAAAAAGTAGATTTTGTTTACTTTTGAAACAAAAACAATATTTTGAAGAAATGGTGAGAAAATTGGATTAAATGCTGAGTGAATGCAACACCAATTGGCAATTGATTTGNGACGGCAGATCTGAAACATAAGACAATCAATACATTAACACATATTTACCACACATTGTAATCACAATACACGACAGTATTAGCCGTTTGTTAGCGTTATTTGCACTGAAATTGTCACCAATTTATGGCATTTTATATGGCATTCATTTACATACGATAATGAGTCGTGTTTTCAAACTTATAAACAAATGATTGCTTTGTTATATAATTATCAATATATATATCGTATGAAAGACACAAATACTACAGAAAAGTCTGCGTTTACTTACAAATGACTGATTAAACGAAATGCAGATTTCAATGATTGAACGGCGAGTCAATTGAATGGCATTGAAGTGAATGTATGCCTGAAATGAGTGCAAAACTGACGGCACGGACACACAAACACTGGTATTACGGGTCCAAAGGGTTTACGCATATGTCTCGCAAACTCACACCAAATACTGTTGCACTGAATGCTATGTTTGACACGTCTTTCACTTTTAATGTAACGCTTTGTCTCACAAATCAATTGTCAATTGGTTTTGCATTCACTGAGCATTTAATCCAATTTTCTCACCATTTCTTCAAAATATTGTTTTTGTTTCAAAAGTAAACAAAATCTACTTTTTTATTGCATTCACATTAAATGTTTGACACGCTATACATGGTTCAGGGCTACCGTTGTCAGTGTGTAGTGTTTGTGTGCGGCCTATCACTCTGTATAACGTTCACTACATTTAAACATTTTTGGCATTTAAGTTGAATCACTCATTAATAACGTGTAGACATTATATTAGCCCCCAAACCACATAATACAATGCATTCAATGCCATATCTAATGAATATTAAATATTTTATTAATACTTTTCCATGGTGAAATTGTTATACTTTATTAATGGATACCATTTAATTAGCCGCTATTTTTGAATAAATTATTTGCATGAATTTACTACATGTACAAATAGGACCGTGGTATAATTGATATTTATCAATGTTTAATATAAAATCATTGAATTCATAATTTTATGTTTTAGGTAAAGAAATATAAGTGACAAAGTTCATTGCACTTTATCACTTATACATTTAAATTATATGCAAATTCTGTTTGTCATTAAATTGTTTGATTTATGAATGGGAAAAATATTGAACATACCACATTTTTTCATATATCCATACATACCGTATAAACGGATAACCATTAGGATTGAGTGCCAAATTGGCAGTACATACAGCACTGTTCAGCGCATACAGTGGTATATCTATATCTGATGAGCACTTCCAGCACCAGTTATATTTAGTTTGCATTCAATTCTTGATGATTTATAAATAGTTTTTGTCTCTGAGACCCTAATGTCTTATATTTTTAATGCACTTTTATATGAGAAGTTCTCTTAGTTTGTTAGTTATGTTTCAATAATGCATTGAAAAGTATTTTTCACTTCAAGAATTCAAAAATTTAACATAATATTCATATTTGATTCAAGAATTTATAGTTTAGTAATAAAGTTTATTGTGATAAATATACAGTAGTATCAAAATAGTACTAACTAATAAAACAAAGTTAAAGTGATAAAATGCAGTCAACAGTACTACAGTACGATTTAAGCCCCGAAGTGATACCCCGAACCAAATGCTTTAAATTTGTAAAATACTCGTTGATATCGGCGCTGGTTTTGCTCATCTCAATGGCCCTGATTGTGCTGATCGTGGCTGAGGCCAAGTCTAACGAGAAAATGTTTCTCAGTTTAGGCATCATATCCCTGGTATGACTGACCCCTAACCCACGCAACCATTTCCTGTATTCCTATCTCATTATTAATTAGTAATTAATAATCATTTTTTGCATATGTTTTGTACGCAAAGGTCGGCGTAATTGTGTTCGTAATCGGATTGTTAGCCATAATCAAAGAGCACATCCCGTCGGTGATGATCTTTGCG